GCATTCTTTCAGATTTACTTGGGTTTCGCATGATCGTATGCGACGTACCACTGGTAGGTCACGAGCTGTGGACAAATGCATCATGGCCGTATGCGAATCAGCAGACTTGCCAGTGGATCAAGGAAGACTGAAGCATGACTTGACATGTCCACGCTTTGGACGCCGCGTGAAACGTGCTTGGTGAAGCAATGTCCAGACTGACTGAGGTCCTCTCGCAGTGTTACCCACTGCTACAAATTCTCGCAGGCCGTTTGCTCCAGACCTGTTGCGAGCACGTCTCCAGTTCGCATATTCGCGCAGACATCGTAGCCGAGCTCGCCTATTCGGTGGACTTTAGAGGCCCGTGTTGGCAGCCCCAAACGCAAAGTCTTTCCGTGCTATGCCCTGAGGAGCCCCAAATCGCAGTTTTTTCTTTCCTCGAGGTTCTGTGTTGACCGCGCAGTTATTTGTTCCAATGTCTTTCCAACACGCTTTTCTGAAATCCTCTTCAGCTTGTTCCCCATTCTAATTTAGCTTGCCTGACGAAGCCTGAATCTTTCAGCCTGTGCCGCCGACCTTTCGCGCTGCCTTCTGCAGCTCAAACGGGTCCCAAGCTCAAGGCAACAAGGACTGTCCAAAACATGCGCGCATACTCTTAGATTGCATTTCTGGGTTGATCGCACGCCACGCTCGTAGCGTCATGTTTTGGGAAAGACCTTGATAATTGCAGTCGCAGCAGTGGCAGAAATGTTTGCGTATGCCCAGGTGCTACTATTCCATTGGTACATCGCGTTCTGCAATTTCGCGGTCCTTAATGTGATGACTGGCGTGGCCTGGCCGCTAGGGGATGTGTTTCGGATGGGCACATTTTCACAGCAGATGCGTCGCGCTGGCAAAAGAAGCAAGCAAACTCCTGGAACGCTGTGGAGACTGGCTTCCTTTCCAAAGCCACCTGTAAATCACAATGATTTGTTTGGCACTAATGCGTTCAGTGAGTTCAAGCATTCCAAGAGGGTGTACGATCTGTTGTTCATATAAAGCCACCACAGCGGCACAAAGGTAACAACGGCAAAACTTGCTTTGGCATTGGCAGCCTGTGTCAAGTTGTCGACTGAAGGCAGCGTTGCTTCCTTTCTTTGCTTTGGTACCGCCAGATGCATGGAGTTTGGTCTCAGAATGCTCAAAGCTCGGCTCTCGCCTCGCTCTCGAGGTCTTTTGCCACAGTGCGATTCGTGCCTCAGAGACGGACCACCTAACCATGCTACAGAATCGGAAGAGGCCTGGCAGGGAATATTGCTGCCTCTGTTTTGGCACGGCGCTTGTTGCAGACCTTCTGAAGCACGTCTTCTAAAGCACGTCGTCTGAAGCACGTAGAAGCAGGATCAACCAAAACGCACTGTGGCATGTGGTGGTATTGTGCCGGTGTTCTAGTGCTGAACCCCATCGTTTTGCACGTCCATTCCTTTCATGCCTGCAGGTTTCAGAAACTGCTGCGGCAGATGTTCAGCAAGTTGGACGTTGACGGATCTGGCCAGCTTACAGTCTCGCAGTTTGAAAGGCTCTTTGAGGATGAGGACCATGATTTGCGCTTGGATGTTCGGGTTTGCTTTGTTACAAACTGAAAGCAGGACATGAAAGCATTCTTTGAAGCCATCGAGATTGATGCTGTGGACGCGTGGACGCTGTTTGTGGCACGGCAGCAAAGTAGGTACAGAAGTATTCTGACACCACGTAGGATCAAGTTTGATTGCTTTGGAAGCAGAGGGTTGCAGATGTTTCAGTCGCCAGGCAGATTCAATCACGTGCTTTCGCTTTTCGCAAGGTTCACCTCTTTCCCACATTTATGCAAGTGCGCAGGGATTCCCACACCTTCCTATCAACTTCCATGGTTGTGGAGGGAGGGTAACCTTTAGGTTGCACAGGATGTTGCAAACAATGCATTCTCGACGCTCTTTCTGCCAACCAAAGTGTCTAGAGTCTGGAGTGCCCTACTCAACTGATTGGAATCTTTGGGTTCGGGTTGATTGGTTTGGGTTTATCCCCAGCTAGAGAATCCCCCCAACCAGGGTTTTCGTTCGGTTTGCCTCAACACAGCCCCGAAGGGGTATCCTAAGAAGCACGCCTGAAGTTGCTTTGCTTGTTCCTGAGGCTAGCCTGGATGTGAACGGCGACAACGTTATTAGCGCGGATGAGTTTGTTCAGCGCTGCATGCAGCTGCATGGCAGTGCCCGCTCCGTGGATTTGCCACTCGAATGTTCAACAAAATACAGATGAGGGAAAAGGCCAGTTTTCTGTAGAGACAAGTGTCAGAAGCATTTGTTGGAGGCTGTTTTTGGAGTTCATCGAAGTTGTCAGGAGAGTATGTGAACAATGTGCCGCAACTGTAGACCCCTGCAAGTGGTTCCATGTTGGATCCCTTTCAAGACAGTTCTCAAAAGCACAACAATCACTGGGCAGATTAAGGTTAGTAGGGCACAGCTCTAAGCAGGGGCCGCTGAAGTCTTGTCATGGTTTTGGGTGAACTTCTTGAATACTTCTTGAATACTAGGGAAGTCCGGCTGAGCTGGGGAGACGTTTCCAGAATACAAGAAATATGGTTTGGAGCACGCTTCTTTCCTCCTTGTCTCGTCTCTTTCTTCTCTTACTCTTTCTCTTTTTTTTGCTCTTGCTCTTTCTCTTTCTCGTCCTCGATCTTTTGCTATTCATTTTTTTTTTTTTTTTTTTTTTTTTTTTGGCTATTCTTGCCGTTCTCTTTTTTCTTTCTTTGTCTCTTCTATCTTTCTCCGTCTCTCTCTCTCTCTCTCTCTCTGTCTCTTCGATCTTTCTCCGTCTCTCTCTCCCTCGCTTTCCCTTTCTCTTTCTCTCCTTTTGTTTCCTCTTTTTTCTTCCTCTTTTCTCTGCTATCTTTCCTCTTTCTTTTTCTTTCTTTTTCTCTGTCTCTGTCTCTTTTAATGCAAAGGATCGCGAGTTGTTTAAGGTCGACCCACCGAAAGTCCGAAGAGGTTTCACCTTTTCATTGTTCCGCAACTGAGAAACACAAACAAACAAACAAACAAACAAACAAACAAACAAGCAAGCAAGCAAGCAAGCAAGCAAGCAAGCAAGCAAGCAAGCAAGCAAGCAAGCAAGCAAGCAAGCAAGCAAGCAAGCAAGCAATCAAACAAACAAACGCAGAGAGGTTGCCGATTAAGGGCTGCGAAGCAGTGTGCGCTCCCGTGCCAACGGTCCAGTCTCCACACGCGCTCCGAGCCCGTTTCGAGACCGTTCCGAGACCGCTGCAGGACCGCCTGCGTCAGGCGTCGCAACCGAGGCGGCTTGTGTGTTCGGCAGAGCCGACTTCATTGACAGGGCCAACGTTTCTGACTCTTGCTATTTCCCAGTTCTCGCAATTTCTTGCGTTTCCTAGCTATTTCGCGCGTAACGCATGCATTTCTGAGAGAAAGAGAGAGAACTGGTCAGTACTGCGGAAGTTCCCAGCTAAATTTCCTTTGACCAGGTGTTGATTACTTAAAAGGGTTGCTAGCCGGGCGGCAACGCCTTCCGATCTTTGATATTTGAAGGGGTCGCCTGGGAGGAGAGGCCCGGCAGATTCCCGCGCTGTAGCATTTCTTTGCTCTTAGACCCTTGATTGGCGTAGCGTTTAGAGGGAGCTATGACATCTCCCACTGAAGATAAAGTTTTAGCAAGGGATCAACTGAGATTTGAGGGTCAAGACTCGAATTGGTCGCAACAAGTGACTTGGGATAGCCGTTTTCCCAAGGTATGCGCTGAAGCAACAGAATCAGAAGTTGCGACAGCACATCGACGTCATCGACGATGACCAGAAGATCCTTCTCGGCCGTGTTGCAATGTTGGCTCGCAGCTTGTCGCATCAGCAGCAATTGTCGCTCAGGGCGCAGTCTGATCTTAGGGCAAATCCTTTTATGTCCGTGTGATGCTGATGCAATGGACATTACAAAAAGTCTAGTGTTGCTTTGTGGCGATCGGATTTGGGCAGCCCGCCTAAAGGCCAGGGCTGTAGCTCGTTCTCCGGAACCTTTTGGAGCTGTCAGGGTGCGCCTCAACTTGGAGTCACCTTTTTTGGCGCTCACGCTATTCCTCGCCACTTCTGCCACGGAACCTCCAATCGTGGGCCGTGCATTGCTTGCTCCCTTGCTCCCTGCGTTCTGCGCGGAGAAAGGCCGACCCCAAGCACTGAGAATTTAAGTTCGCTCCAGCCAAGCTGTCCCCAGAATGGGGGCGCTGGGTTGGCTCAATTTCAAACCTTACACTCTGACCAAGTCGGGGGTTGTCTCAATCATTCCCAATCGAAAATGCCCCGCTCAGCAGGATGTCTGTCACAGGGTTCTATGTTGGCCTTGCTTTGGTGCTTTGTCACCATCAGGAGGTGGTATGTAAATACCAGCGGTTGTGTCCGGGACGCTCAGGCGATCACCGTTGGTTTCTGAGGGTCAAGATTCCGGGTTGAAGTCTCTTATGAACGCCCCACCCCATCCTGCATGCAGGAAAAACCGCTATCATGCGCAGACGCCCCCCAAATCAGCTTCCCAAAAAGCCATTGACCTCGTGTTTGCATTAGCAGAGTGGTCCTTAAATGTTCCGCACGTTTTGCATCAACCTGGCACTGCGTGGGGGAATGCAAACAGCCCAAGGGCTTGACAAATCGTAGACCGGAGAAGGACAACACATTGGCTGAAAATTGTCGGCAAACAAGTACCTCGCTTGAAGGGATGCGCTCACCAGTTCGGTTGTCACTGCGATCGATATACGGTTCTTCAGGCTGGCAAAGGAGCACCCATGTCTTCAAGAAAACAAGGGGTCCAGACCCAAAGTACATTCTTCCGTTTCCTCCAGATCGTCAACCCTTAAAGTAGATTGATGCAATTTAGGGGGTTCTGGACTGTGATTAGTACCATCATCCCTCTTTAAGGATGTCAAAGAGGGAGTCACCCTTGAAACCTTTCCTTTAAGACCAACCAAAAAAGCCACACTCACCTTTTTCGGTTCGTACTTCTGCCCAGGCGTATACCTCTCCGAGTGCCAGCTCTTGGTGTCGGACCCTGGGGCGGTTCACCAGATCTGGCATTGCGCGCCTTGTCTTTTGGGTGTTGGGGGGCAAGCGAAAGGGAACTGCTGCCTAGGGAAAGCCTAGTAACAGGCGACATGCTTTTTCTTGCGGGGCAACCGAACCTCCGACGAGAACCAGAAGCTCCAACCAACCGCATGTCCTTTGTGGGGTAAACCTCCGTTTTGTCCGATGCTCAGAAAAGAGTGTCCTCAATGGCCCCCAATAGTCACTAAGAGTCACTTTCTCAATATGCACTTTTGAATCAGTGTTGGGTAGATCGCAGGTATTGGGTTCTCTAGTTTGGCATGTGTCAAACTTGGGCAACCTTAAACATACGTGGCTTTCATTTTCGTTTCTCTTTGAATCAACCCCAAGGATACTCTCAACAAGTCACACCCTCAGCACTGTTTCACCGAGGACAACTTGAGGCCAGGCCTCACGGTGATTTTGCCGCTCACGGAGGTGGATGAGGAGCTGGGGCCCACACATTTGCTCCCAGGCGCGGGGCTCCACGAGTCGGAGTGCCCCGGCAAGATAGGCGTTGCCTTTTGCAAGGGCTCCCAACCGGATTCTCACGGTTTTTCCGAGGAATATCTCGAGAGGTCGGAAGGGGCGTCTTTGGAGTTTGTCACTTTCTTTGGGTTGTTTCAAAGGCAAACTGAAAGGAAGCTGGGCCCGATTCCTGGGAGTGCCCCTACTTAAAGTCGCAAATTGGCGGGGTCCTAAGAAGATATAGCGGGCTGCCTCCTGGTTGTCCCTTCAAAGCTACCCAAATCAGCTTGGTTGCTCTCAAAGCCCCAATGCACCATGATGTTTGCGCGCCAGTGACGGCTATCCATGTTGATCATTCGGTCCTCAGTCTGCAAGAAACCTTATCCAAGTTACGCTGCTTGCGCAGACAGCAGTTGAAATGCATAGAGAAAGCTTCACCCCATGGCTACCAAGTACTTTACATGGGTGTGCCTACAAAGCATGGCGAGCCGGCTTCCCTTTGAGTTCCCTTTGCCTTTCAGCCTCCCCAAAAGGGCACCCTTTTGCCAGCACTTATGGCATCCTCTTGAACAGGCCCAAACGTCCACTTCCATGTTTGTTGGAAAGATGGGAAATAACTCTCATGCGGTGAAGCACGGGGAACGAACACGATTCACTCTTCGCGCGTGGGGGGGGGAGCTTCAGTTGTGAGACCCGCCCAACTCAACTGGGTCGATGTTTGACTGCTACTCCAAAGTGCAAAAGACGTCGAGCTCGTGGCAAGTGCCAGGGACGCATCACCTTGGAGGCGCGGCTTGGTTTGTCGTTGAGAGGCTTGATTGCAGACGAAACAGAGAAGGAGAGAGTTAATAGCTCATGTATCGACATCCACATGAGTCTAGCATTTTTTCAATAGAAAATGTTTGTTTGTCTATTTGCTTGTTTGCCTATCAGTCTATCTCCTTGTTGGTCTCGATATTATTTGTTGTTTTTGGCTATTGGCCTTTTTGTATATATATATATATATATACATATATATATATACATTTTTTCTGGGCCTGCGGCCTCTAGCCGGCTACGCCTCTTTGAAGCTATACCACGTCATGTCATGTTTTTTGTGTGAGAAACGTATCCTGTGCTATGATATGGCTGGTTAGTAATGTTGCCCACCCCAACCCCAGATGATGCCGGGAATGCCAGCTTTCTTGGCCCCAGCCGAGCCCCAACCCAGAAGGCTGATATGGGGTCGCGCGCGCGCGGGGCAAAGAGCAGCCCAAAAAGAGCAGCCCGCAAGCCAGCCCGGAAACGCAAATGCAACAAAACACCGTAAATAGCAGCGTTTTTTGGCAGAGGCTTTTCTGGAAGGAAGTCTTGATGATGCAGACCAAGCCCCGCTGACGCATCACCCAGGCCCAAACCCAGACCCTGATGGTGTCAGCCACATGGCCTAAACCCTGCATGCATATACGCGATGTTTTGCGAGGGTTTCCCACAGGCAAGCAAAACTGCAAGCCCGAGCTGGTGATGCAGAGGTGCCGGATTTAGGCCACGCATCACGACCAAGTGACGAGGGGCGGCGGCGCCAAAGCTAGCAGGCTAATTGCCTAGCGGCGACATGCTACCCCAGGAGGCGTAGCCGAATTTAAGGGCTGCCGCCCTGTGCCGCCGGCCCCTGCTTGCTGACAGGGGACGTTGTTATGACAATTATGACTACGCATTTTTTGTCGGGTTTAACGGCACACTTAAAGCATATATGAAAAAGAAGAGCAGCGCAATAATGATGATGTTTTCGATGCTGCATTTGTTACCCAACGTTAGGGATGCTGATAATTATTTTAAGGGCTGCCGCCCAGTGCCGCCGACCCCTCCACCAGAAGGAGCGGCCAGCCACAAAAGCTTCGCTTCCCGCGCTTTTCCAGGCTGCACTCGTTTGTCCACAGCGAGCACCAACCAAAGGAGTGCGCCGGCAGCAGAAAGGAAGAAAAGAGGCCGAACGGGCGGGCCCGCACTCGTTTGCGCACAGCGAGCACCAACCAAAGGAGTGCGCCGGCAGCAAGAAAGGAAGAAAAAAGGCCGGACGGGCGGGCCGTGACAGAGCTTCAGCGCTGAAAACTGTGCCCTGCAGGTGCTTGAGCGCTTTTCCAGGCCGCACGCGTTTGCCCACAGCGAGCACCAACCAAAGGAGTGCGCCGGCAGCAGATAGGAAGAAAACAGGCCGAACGGGCCGTGACAGAGCTTCAGCGCTGAAAGCTGTGCCCAGCACGTAGATGAGCAGTCTCGGCCTCCTCAGCTCAGGGACAGTTGGTGTAGTGGCCTCAAACCCGCTCAGCATGCGAGAGCGGTCGGGTTCAATCCCCGGCCTGTCCATGGGCATGCGCCTTGGTCTTGCCGGCAGCCTGCTCCGCCGCGGCCGGGTGCCTAACGTCGCGTTCCAGCCACAAAAGCTTCGCTTCCCGCGCTTTGCCAGCTCGTTTGTCCACAGCGAGAAAGGACAAGGAAAGAAAAGAAACCTCTTGGCCTCCTCAGCTCAGGGGCAGTTGGTGTAGTGGCATCACACCCGCTCAGCATGCGAGAGGGGTCGGGTTCAATCCCCGGCCTGTCCATGCCCATGTGCGCCTGCGTCTGTCACAGTTTGCCTATCCCTGGTCTTGCCGGCAGCCTGCTCCGCCGCGGCCGGGTGCCTAACGTCGCGTTCCAGCCACAAAAGCTTCGCTTCCCGCGCTTTTCCAGGCCGCACTCGTTTGTCCACAGCGAGCACCAACCAAAGGAGTGCGCCGGCAGCCGAAAGGACTCAGGGGCAGTTGGTGTAGTGGCATCACACCCGCTCCGCATGCGAGACCTGTCCATGCCCATGTGCGCCTGCGTCTGTCACAGTTTGCCTATCCCTGGTCTTTCTCCCTTTGGGTTTGCTGCGTCTTGCCAATGACGCCTTTGGCGGCTGCCCCGCCGCGGCCGGGTGCCGAACGTCACTTTTGAATCCTATATAGAAAGTAGAAAGCTATCGGTCCCCAGGGCGCAACCAGCAAGAACAGCTTCGCGTCCAGCGCGCTTGGAGGCCGCGCTCGCTTCAGCGAGCACGAACCAAAGGAGTGCGCCGGCAGCCTGCTCCGCCGCGGCCGGGCGCCCGCACTCGTTTGTCCACAGCGAGCACCAACCAAAGGAGTGCGCCGGCAGCCGAAAGGAAAAGGAAAGAAAAGAAACCTCTCGGCCTCCTCAGCCCAGGGGCAGTTGGTGTGGTGGCATCACAGCTCAGCACGCGAGAGGGGCCGGGTTCAATCCCCGGCCTGTCCATGCCCATGTGCGCCTGCGTCTGTCACAGTTTGCCTATCCCTGGTCTTGCCGGCAGCCTGCTCCGCCGCGGCCGGGTGCCTAACGTCGCGTTCCAGCCACAAAAGCTTCGCTTCCCGCGCTTTTCCAGGCCGCACGTTTGTCCACAGCGAGCACCAACCAAAGGAGTGCGCCGGCAGCCGAAAGGACAAGGAAAGAAAATAAACCTCTCGGCTTCCTCAGCGCAGGGGCAGTTGGTGTAGTGGCATCACACCCGCTCAGCATGCGAGAGGGACCGGGTTCAATCCCCGGCCTGTCCATGCCCATGTGCGCCTGCGTCTGTCACAGTTTGCCTATCCCTGGTCTTTCTCCCTTTGGGTTTGCTGCGTTTTGCCAAGGGCGGCTGCCCCGCCGCGGCCGGGTGCCGAACGTCACTTTTGAATCCTATATAGAAAGTAGAAAGCTATCGGTCCCCAGGGCGCAACCAGCAAGAACAGCTTCGCGTCCAGCGCGCTTGGAGGCCGCAGTCGCTTCAGCGAGCACGAACCAAAGGAGTGCGCCGGCAGCCTGCTCCGCCGCGGCCGGGTGCCTAACGTCGCGTTTGAGTCCAATATGCAGTAAGGCTATCGGTCCAGAGGGAGCGGCCAGCCACAAAAGCTTCGCTTCCCGCGCTTTTCCAGGCCGCACTCGTTTGTCCACAGCGAGCACCAACCAAAGGAGTGCGCCGGCAGCAGAAAGGAAAAGGAAAGAAAAGAAACGAAGAAGAACAAGAAAAAAGGGAAAGAAAGAAGGCTGGTAAGGTACAGGGCTGAACGGGCGAGGGCGAAAGGGAAGGGAGAAGGCTGCCACAGTCACGCTCCAACGCTAAACGAACACTCCCCCAGCGCCTTCCCCTTGCAGGCAGGGGGGTCAGCGGATTACTATGATGCATTATGCATTCCCATTCTCGCCAGCAGTTATGATGATAGTTGTTACTTTGCATTTTTGGCATCACCAGCAGTTGTTCTGATGATTATGACAACGCATTCCCTGCATCTCAATCAAGCCACTGCGGGATAAACTCGCATGATAATAAGAACTTGGTTGAATTTTACAAGAAGTGCCCCGGGTGTGTGGGAACTCGGGCGCAGGAAAACCATGTTGGGGGCCTTTTTTGTTCTCAAGACTTCGATGTATTGCTGTGCATGCGAAGTGTGGACTTTGTCGAGAAAAAAGCCGTTAGGAACACCTCCGCATGCAATCAGACGGTGATGGTGATGATGATGCTGATGATGATGATGATGATGATGATGATGATAGTTTATGTGGAACAGGTTGACAAAGACCTAGAACCACAGGTTCCCGCATCTGCTTCCCGACGAAATGCCGGGCAGTTGGGCATTCTGTGCTGCCCAACTTCTCTCGCTGCATCGACTGGCTTGCCAGCGGCGTGGGAGGCGCTGGCGGCCCGCTTTGACGAATAAGCAAACACATGATGCGTGTCACAAGTGTGAGCCGGTCAAGCGCCGGCCACTGCACAAGAACATGCTGCAATGCTTGCTGCACCTGCTGCGCTGTCACCACATCGGAGTTGGCGCTGCGCCATGCGAGGCGCTGGCGCCACGATTTCTTCGTGCAAGCAAAGACATGGAAGCGTGTCCGAGGTGATGGTCGGCAATGCGCCGGCCATTTCCACAAGAACGTGCTGCAATGCAAGTGTAACTGCTGTGCTGCCAAAATGAACTATGTCATCATCATCATCATCATCATCATCATCATTTTCATCGTCCTATTCCTCATCATGTTCATCATCATCCTCCTCCTCACTGCGCATCCTCAGCATCACCAGCAGTTAACGTCATCGCTACGCATCCCCAGCATCAGCAGCAGTTGTCATGATAATCATGACAACGCATCCTCTGCATTTCCAGTCGGGTCTGATGAACATGATGATGATTATGATGAAGATGATGATGATGATCATGATCATGATCATCATCATCATCATTTTCATCATCATGTTCATCATCAGGTTCATCATCATCTTGAAACCATGGTTTTGATGATGAACATGATGCTGAAAATGGTGATGATGATGAAACATGATGATGATGCTGATGAGGAAAACAATGATGATGATGAACATGATGATGATGAACATGATGATGATGCTGATGATGATGCTGATGATGATGATGATGCTGATGATGATGAACATGATGATGAACATGATGCTGAAAATGGTGATGATGATGAAACATGATGATGATGCTGATGAGGAAAACAATGATGATGAACATGATGATGATGAACATGATGATGATGCTGATGATGATGCTGATGATGATGCTGATGATGATGCTGATGATGATGAACATGATGATGAACATGATGATGAACATGATGATGAACATGACGATGAACATGATGATCATGTTCATCATGTTCATCATCATCGTCAGTTCATCATCATGTTTATCATCATCACGTTCATCATCATCATCATTCTCATCGTCGTGTTCATCATCATCATCATCATCATCACAGCCCTCATGACGTTCCTCATCCTGATGATAATCATCACTACGCATCCTCAGCATCACCAGCAGTTAACGTCATCACTATGCATCCCCAGCATCAGCAGCAGTTATCATGACAATCATGACAACGCATCCTTTGCATTTCCAGTCGGGTCTGACGGCGCGCTTGAAACGCAGATGAAAAAGAAGAGCGCCACGGTAATGATGATGATCCGGATGCTGTGAATCATCACCCAACATCAGTGGTGATGATAATCATCACTAAGACAAGGACAAAGACAAACCCTTCCCATGCGCCTCCCCTTTGGAGAAAGGGGTCGGTGGATATATGCATGTATTAATAAAAATCATATGTATATATATATATATGTACATATGTATGTCTATGTGATTGTTTGTCGTCACAACGGCAAAATCATCATCAAAAGCCGCCTGAAGTTGCTTGAATTTGCCGCACGTTGCTCAGTTGCTCTTGCCATTTCAGCCGTATTGTGAATCACCCCAGGTCACAACAGCCTCAGATTAGCAAGAATGGCAGCAATCACACTACTGCCAGTTTCTTGCATGTGCTGGACTTTCCTTAGCTGCTCTTGCCCGCATGTTTTCCCCACACCCCCTGTGGCCATATGAAAAAGGGCACTCTTATTTGAGACCAGAAGGAAGCAACCCATGTGTGATCCAGGCTGAGCACCCACAACAAAAGCACCCTTTGACAAATGCCTTTTGGCATTTGCTTACAAAAGGTCTATGGGGCTAAGGTCACACCAAAGAGCAGCCATGATCCGGGTTGGAGGCGAGAAAAACACACGATTCCCTTTCCTTCTTTCAGCACGCTTGTAGCGGCCCAGATTTGCAACGTCCATTTTACAACAGCCCCCAAATGAAGGTTCGCTCTTGCACTTGGCTACCGTCTCCGCCATTTTGTGGATGACTCCAAGCACCGCAAGTTGCTCGAATGTGCTGGATGTTCTTCAGCTGCTCTTGCACCTGGCTGCTGAGTCTTTGTTTTGCCTGTTTGGCAATCAGTCCAGCGTATTGTTAAATCTGTATACCTGTGTATTTGCTTATCTCTATATCTGTACATCCGTGTGTTGGTTTGTCCATTTGCCCATTAGTCTATCCGCCAACCAGTCTATTGTCTCATGAGTCCACCAGTCTATCTCTCTACTTGGCTGTCTGTCTGTCTCTCTATCTCTCCGCTTCTTGACGTATGTCTGTGAATATTCATGAGCTCATGTGCACACATACGCCAACCTGCAATCATGCCCTGCTTCATTTCTTGCAGCTGCGGGCAGCTTCTTGGCCAGCACGTCTTCAGTTAAGTTGGCACCCACAAAAGTTTAACTTGTTAAGGGCCTCCCGGGTTCCTTGAATCACCATGAACAGCTACGTCCACTTTTGGACTGCCCTAGTCTCTCCCCAAAAATATCCGGAACTTTGATCCTCAGGCTCGTCTGGTTAACTCAGCGACTCCATTTTGACGTATCTCGGCGGTGATTCCGTGAACGGAGCCGTTTGGCCCCCTTTGGTCGCCTGCCGGCCAGCGGAGGTGCCAAAGTCGGCTCGGCCCTCGGCAGCCTGCGGAGGGCCGGGGGCGCAATAGCTGCGCCGCTGGTGCCGGGACAGGCGGGCGGGGCACTTGGCAGCTGTTTGATGTGTTTGTGTTGTCTTTTTGAGGGTGTCCTTTTCAATTTACAAGGGACACCAGCAGTAAGTCACAGTTTATTTTGTCAGTTTTGACACTCCGCTTGGGCATTTTCCAACAAAACATATCAGGCAAACCCATTTGTCTCACCTCCAAAAGTGGCAGCTTTATTTCAGGTACCTTGATTGGGGGTTTGGATTGCTTGCAGATTGAAATCCCAGTTGCTTTTAAAGCCAAACGGGGAAGGTACCCCAGAACGTCCAAACCTACGATAAAAGCTAAACCCTTGTGCAGGGCGTCGGGCTCCTTGACAATCTGTTTTCTAGAAAAGTAGTGAGAGGCGGCAGTTCTGTGCTGGAAGGGCTGGAGGTGAGGCATCGTTCAGCTACATCGCTCCTTCTTGCACGCTACGCTGGAGGTGAGCCTAGGCTCAAGTGGCAATTGCGTTGGAACGCACATTGCACCTTGTGAAGGAGAATGAAAGCGCCCCACTGATGAATGAGCCAAGCTTTGCAGCAAGAGATATTGTTCTTTGGGCATAATGCTGGCTGATTGCTCATGCCGACCTTACAACTCTTGAAGTTAGTGGCGTGGCCCCACAACGAATCTGTGGTCACACGAGTCACGTAATGAGCGATTACCGCTACTTTGTCGACCGGAGCTTTGGGAGAAGTACTGGCCCCTCGAAATCTTACCGGGACCATGAAACCTTCAGCATATCCGATGTGCTTACTCAGTCGGAAGCTGTTGCAATCCCTTGCCGAGATAGCCAGGGCTTGCTGGAGGAGTAGTGATCCAGGATTCACAATCACTTGGTTGATTAAAGCGGGGGGGGGGGTGTCCCGTTTCCTATTCATTTGCCAGCTCTATTTGTCCGGGGTAAGAAGTAAGTTTTTGCAGACATTGCCCGCGCCACTGCAGGCTTTGATCTACGATGCTGCTATGGTTGCAAGAAGACATACGATGAGCCATTTGAGTGGAATCTCTGGGTGCGTTTATTTGCAAACCTGGCCTTCAGATGGCCAGGGAGTTTCTGGAATCGGAGCATAGCCCTGAGATACGAAGATTCCACTACTTGCTGGCCCGGAGGACGGCTTTTGGAACAGCCCTTGCCATTGTGTTTTTCTTCGCAGCCACCGTTGTCCTGTTTTGGTTGACAGAGCTCATTTTCTGAACCGCCTCGTGGTTTCGGTGGCTCGGCCCGGATTGAAATTACCCCAGGCGCGACTGATGCACCGGGGTCTGGGGAACAGCTCCTACAACCGATGCCGAGTGGTGCCTCGGAGTTCCAGAAATCAGCGTGGACGATTGGAGGGTTTGATGATTTTTTGAACAGCCCCCTTCAGGATTGTTGGGAAACGGGGCAGGAACCCTGGGGGTAAGAAGGAAACCAAAGGGAGAAGCCCCCATTGCAAGACATGCTTAAATGGGTACGACATGTTATTGGCTGCACCGTTGGACACTTTGGTGGACATCAGAAGGGATCTGTGTAGCCACGGTGTGGAGGGGTGCTGCACACTCACGCTTGGTTTGCAAAACTGCAAAATGAGCCCCTAGGGCTGCCCCCCCCCCCTACCCCCAAATTCCACGGTCAGCTTCTTCTTTTCGCGAGACTCTGCAGTCTTGACCTTGTTTGCGATCAGGTGATCAGCTCTTGAGCATACGATTCAAAAGGGCCTTAGCAACGTTGGTTGCCATGGGCGTAATTCTTTGCCATCCCAGGGAACAAGTGGAGGCTATCAGGCAAGCAATGCTCGTACTGATTCTAACCCACATGTTGAGGGATTGCCATTTGACTAAGACGGACCCAGTTTTTGGTTTTCCAACGCGATTGAAGAAGCCAACTCATTTCACGGACCCAATTCAAACGAAGCCCCCGCCACATTGTGCCTGAGGTGGTGGTGATGCGACGCTTGGCAAAGAATCCTTTGCCGGAGGCTCGCTTTAGGCTGCCTTGAGGGGAAACAACGTTTGATTTGACAGGGTGCCTTTGGAGGTTTTCAACAAAACTTGGTCTGAGGGAGACCATCATGCTTTGCGGAGAAACTATGTTCTTGATCTTTCACGTCAGTCGTCGGACGAAGTTTGGGTGCGCTTTTTCCACGGGGAATTTCAGGAGCCCTTGGAGACCTAAAGAGGCTATCTAGACAACGGGTCCAAGTTCCTTCGCTCTGGAACATATGTTCCACTGTGACGAAAGTGGAACATACGGTTGCTTAGACGTTCAAAGGATTTTTCCCACGGGATGTGGTTTTCGGCCTTGGTCTCCCTGGCATTCTAGTTCTTGATCCGACCTGGACGCACCTGGGCATATGGACTCACAGAGAGTTTCGGTTTTCAACGTCAGCCTTGACGAAGGTTCCCTTCGGGCCACAGGGATCTCTCTTTTGTTGGGGACCCCCCCAAATGGTGTCCCTCACTCATGTTTGTTTTTTCAACTCACCCTCAGCCTGAGGCCTCGACATGCTGGACACTCCGCCGCCTGGCGCGACGGCGTCTTGGCACATTCGCCGAGGTGGCGGTCCTGTTTTCAAGAGACGGTATATTTTGGTGGAAAACACGGTGTTCGGCAGACATGAAGAATTGACAAGCTATCTGCATCACATGCGCTTGCCTTGGGAGATTCACCTGACTGATCATGGAATTGGCTAAAACACTTGACTGGATATGCCGCTGTCGTCAAGAAGACAAACCGTCTTAAGGTCGGCTTGGAAATATTGGCTGATACATACCACCTGTTCTCATTGATATGATTGCATGCTGCTGCCGATCTTCACATATGTTTGCAGATCCAGCATGCGCGTGCGGGGGCGCGGGCTTTCTCTTGAGGTTGTCCAAACCGCCATGGTGCGAGCGCTGGGTCAAGCCCTTGGTGGACTGAGCTACCTGTATCGCTTTCTGCCAGCACGGAGCTGAACATCAGGGTTGTTTGCACCACCCCTCCCTTTAAAGGGAAACCAACAGGAGGTTGTGCAAGCAACAGCGACGAAAGTATCTTTAAACAAGATGTCAGCTCAACCCTGCTGAAAACCTGAAGCTGAAGGGCCGAAGTCCGGCAACCAAGTTTAGCTGTACAGCCCAGGTGCAGTTGGGAAGAATCCTGCTCAAAGTGGCAAACAGAGATTGGTGCTGGCTTGCAGTTGCCAATGATGGCATAGGAGTCATTTAATTGGCCGTGACATTGGAGCATTGGAGCATTGGAGCATTGGAGCATGATCCTGGGAGAATGCAGGCGGAACATGGCTGTGCATGGGGGCCTGCCGCGGAATCGATGTGGCTTGTGGCTTTTTTTCAAGTGCGGCTGCGCAAAGCAACCAGATAGTCACATGAAACACACGCCGTGACATGACCTTACCCGCAGTTGTTTGTGTGCAGTGCCGAAACTGATGTCACATATGTGCTGCGAATGATGGGAGCTTCATCCTTTGTTTGATGAAGTTAGGCATATCCATCAAGCCTCCAGCCACCCCGTGTCCTCGACTCGGATGCACAGATGGATGCCGCCTCGCCACAGCACGAGGCCGTGCTGTGCGTCAAGTCCGGTGAAACTCCAGGGAACCCTCACGAAGAAGCCTCAAAATCCGGCATACGGCATACGGCCAACAGCAGCAAGGCAAGCTGGGCGTGTGTCCCAGCTTGGAAGCTCGAAGACCTTTTTCCCGTCCAGCGTCGAAGGTCTTGTTTCGATCTTCTCGCAAAGTCTCGCGGGACTTGAGCGAGTTCGTTCTCCATGCGTATGGGTTGTGTGTTTTTTTTGGAGGGCGGCCCTGCTGCGATTGTGTCAAAGGGAAGCCGACAGGAATGCTATAATCTTTTTGGGGTTGCAGGTTCTGACGCAAGCCATGGGTTTGGCTTTGCAAGGTTAATGGCGAGATCAATGGCATCTCTGCGCCAAGTCCGATGTCCAAATGGTCGGCGTGGCTGCCGCTGCTGTGCTGCAGCTCGGCTAAGCTTCTGGAGTTGATCTGGGAGCCTTTGCCGGAGGGCGTCTTGGTCTTTGGTGGAGAGGAATCGTTGCAACAACACCTTTTTGTCTTTTTCTCCGTTGCAGCAGAAAAAGGACTTAATTTTCTGCAGGGGGTCCTAGTCTGGCCAACCAATCAGGAGCATTTGATCTGCAAGAGTTTCAACATGTATCTCCCAGCCAACCCCGTGAAGCTGCATCAACATTCAGTGAGGGGCACTGGGCATCAAGCGCTGGGTTGTAGCACTGTGTGAGAGCGGAAAGTGCACAAAGTGCCTTTCTTGCCTTTCTTGGTTTCACATCGGAATTCTGTTTTTTTGGTAGAAATCAAACAAATCATGTTTTTTGTTGTTTTTCTGCTGGACATCCAACAAGCCCCAGTAATTGCCAGTAATTCTCAGTTTTTCTCGAGGAAATCCAAGAAGCCAAACGCAATTCCTGTTTTTTTGGCTGGAAACCCAAACCGAACCCCAGTAAATCTTGGCTTTTGGAGGACATTTCAGAATAGACAATCAAGAATCCCAGTGGACCAGACATCTACCGGAAAATCTTGAATTCTTGGATTCTTGGTTTTGTGTGAGAGACGTCAAAACACCTGGGACCCAAGGTTTTTGCTGCAAAACCATTAAACAAAGAAAAACAAAACACCCTGGGAACTCTGGGTTTTGGCTGAGGGATCTACTTGAAGCACTTGTCAGTTTTTACCTTGTTTCTGTGAAGGCTTTCTTGGTAAACATGGGTTGTTTGCAGCACAGTCTTTTTTGTTTGTTTCATTTTTTTTTTAAAATTATTATTATTATTAGTATTATTATTATTATTATTATTATTATTATTATTATTATTATTATTATTTATTTAATGTCTTTTAAGGGTCCCCAGCGACTTTCTGAAAAACACATGCAGGGGGCCGCGACCATATATATATATATATATATGTATACATACATACACATACAGCCTTGAAATTTCAGTGAGTGCCTTTTAGTGAGACCATCTTCGAGGGTCTGTCTGACAATAGAGGAGCTTCTCAGTTTTCCAAGCAAAAAGCCCAAAGGGGGTTTTCACATCGCAGAGAGTGAGCCCGAGTCGTCGGTGCTTGAGGCTTGCTATATGCGCCCTGCGTGACCTACAGCGAGTGGCATCTTGGCCAACATTTTGGGCGCTTGACAGCTGGATGTTCTCAGGGGGTCCCCTTTGAAACATGGTCTTCCAAAAAGCAGCAAGAGTGTAGTTCTAATAGACATGGGGACCAGAAGCTTTCTTATTTCAACAGGCAAATTGCTAGACGCCGGGGTCGTCAAGCTTCCCGCAATCAAAATCAGAAAGCCACGGTCGTGTCTGTTAGGTGGCACAGAGGCCGGAAAACTACAACACGCCCTCACGTCAAGCCGGTGCACTTTGTAGGGTAAGGACAATGGCGTGGAAATTCGGAGTTTCAGGGCCACTTTTCCGTGATACCGGGAAGCGCTCCGTTGAATTAAACAGGATGGTCACTTTGGTATGACAGAAAGGCCTACATTACTTGTGTTGGAATTTTGCCACCTACTTCACGCAGCAGTATGTCCCACGACCATAGCTGAGTTTTGTGAAGGTCCCTGTTGAGGTGTCGTATTCGGTTGCAGAAGCTGTGGTCCTAAGGCTTCCCCAAGCGCCAATGATGGCATTTCTTTGCTATTTTTACATGTGTGTGGGGGGGGGGGGGGCGGGGCACCTTTGTTCAGCATGTGCAGCTAATGACGTGCGAGTTGTTTGCTGTCTCTCTTAAATTCATTTAGGACTGTTGTCTTGTTGTGTTGGCTTCTTGGGAACAATTGGTTTCAGAGAAGCTTCGTCACGTTTGCTAGCAAATCATTTTCATGCACCTGCGGATGAACACCGGCCATACGTGCAGTGCGTGTCGTGTTGAGCTGATCATTCAATTCGATCGCTCTTCTCAAAAGCTAGCCATTTTCCCTTGGGTCTTTCGAGGCGGTCTGTTAAAACCAAGGATCTCCGGAAGGACGGTAGAAGTCGCATCTACTGGAACTGACAACGTGCTTATGTCTAGCTGGATCTGCGTAGGGAGATGCTCAAAATTGTGGTTTTCCTTTTCCCTGTAAACCAACCCGTAGGTACATTGACGAGCTCTTTGCTGTCCTCCGTAACGAGGACGCGCGAGGAGAGACCACCCTTGCGCAGGTGGGAGCTGTAGCCGTGGCATTGCAAGCTGGCATATTACAGGGGCACACCCCAAAATGAGTGGACTCCTTTTGGCTTGCCCTTCATTTAGGTTCGGTTGAAAGCAGTCAATGGTCTATTTGGAAGGGACATTCGGGGACTCTAAGCCATAAAAGCTGTAGATTTCAATACTTCAATCGCACAAATTCTAAGTTTCTGTGGACTCTCCAAGTTTCAACCGCCACAACCAGGGGACTTTTCAATGCTCCCATACCCAGTAGACGAACGGTAAATTTGACCGTGGCTCGTATAGCTGCAAGTGATTGGGTTTGTCCAAATGCCACGCGACATCCTCAGGAAAACGTTTCGTAAGTCATCCAGCAAAACTATTGTGCGTGACGTGGAGGACTTCTCTGATTTGACAAAAGCATTTGTTGGAGTGATCAGACGTGAAAGCCTCAGGGGTTGTGCACTCGGACATTCTTACGCGCACAGACCGAGGTGTTCAGCAATGACTTCTGGGGCAACCCGCTGTGGGGCCAGAGCTGGACTCACAAGTCCTACAGGCCGTTGGCAGTGCTGAGTTTCTCTTGGCAGTTCCGCTTTCTTGGTGAGGCGGGCCCGAGAGAGCCGATCGGAATCTCGGAAACAGAGTAAAGTCGTTGGGTCCGGTTGAAGCTTTCCTCCTGAATGCCGAAAAGGATGCGAGTGCTCAGGGCTGCTTTCAGAGATGGTAGGGGCGCTTTCTGCTGGCCTTTTGATTGTCTCTTGGTTGTAGAGCCGTAGTTCAGCTGTCACTTGAGGTGGTTCTGGGCCTGGCCTGGCTGCTGTGAGTCCGTCTTGGAAGGGAAGTCGAGGGAGACAAGAGGTTGCGGATTTGGGCACTCACCGAATGTGGACAAGACTCAGGTTTGCTGCTTTGTGCTTTCAAGATGAGAACAAAACGCAAGGGCAGCCAGTTGGTTTCTCTTTTGGTTTTCAA